AAGGATGGTATCACAATGAAAGAAAAATCAGCAAAATGTTATGGTGATTCAGGGTAGGCCGGAAGTTTGGAAAAATTCTGGAAACTACTAAAGAATATTAAATATCTATCTTATGTATTATGAGTAAACTTTTAAAATATAAAAACAACTTCTGCAAGTATATAAACAAGGAGTACTTGATGTAAGCCACAGTCTCTTAGACGGTAAGATTAAAGAACTAATGTGAAACAAGGAAGTGATAAAGGGAGAGGAATATCAAACATCATTGTCACAAAAACAAAAGTACAAGCCGAACAACTGGGACTTAGGCTGAGAATCGCTGTGACCTGATGGCCAGCATCCTAGGGTTTAAAAAGTGAATGGATTAACTGTAGTATTCCTGATTCTCAAGATTTTGGAAGGGTCCAGTGAATGGAAAAACTGCAGTATAAAGCAAGCAAAGCAGAGTTACCATTTCAGATTGGAGTCTTCCTTCTTTGAAGGAAAATAGAAATGTATTCAAGTTTTAAGGTGGTGGGATAAGATATCTCACATAAAGCCACTTAAGCTATGGTGTCAGGGTGGTCTATTATGGATAGAATATTGACTAACCAATTGAAGACAAATGTTGGGATAAGATGGACATTTTCAGGCTGGCAAGTTGTAATGAACTGATTCTGATTAGAAGAGGTACTACCATGGAGAATATACCCATTGATGATGATTCATAATTAACTGCCAGGCTTTGCTTACATTTTAATCCAGGTAGGTTAATCCACTACCCTGATGATTTTTTTTTTAAAAAACAATACATTGTACAAACTCAAAGAATTAAGGCTCTTGGTTGTGAAATGTTTGAGCAATGGGTCAAACTGGCTCTTTTACATTTCTACTGTACAGTAACAAATATCAGCAGTATTCACCACTAACCCAATGCCACTGTCGAGCCAAAGATACATTCTGCCCATCAGATAAATGAATAATATTGTATATGACTATGAGTTGCTACGTATGAGGGCCATATGTTCCAAAGACTGGCAGATCATATTAAAACAGCACATTCCATTGGCTGTCAGCAAGAAACAAGATACTGACTATTCCGAATCAAAACGTGCAATAATATCCAATAGTGTGTGAGATGCTGCAGTTGGACAGCATTTACTAGATATTCTCGAGTGTGCAACAAACAGAAATAACATGCACAGACACTGTGCCTGTTTCAACTCAACAAAATAGATATGGTCCATTCGCTGACTCATTTGTCCTCCAACCAAACAGATCAACCAACCTGGTTTGAATTTTAAAACAAAGCCTAGCACTTAAAAGGATTCTTTTGGACAAAACTCTTCAGATGCTGCCAGACTTGGTAATATTTCCTAGATTTTCTATTTTTATTTAAAATTTCCAGGGTCTGCAGAACTTGGATTTTGAGTAAATGTAATACGTCTATTTAAAAAAGAAACAAAGCAGGAAATGAGGCCATTTAGCCTAGCATCTCTCATTATCAATAAGGATAAGGAGAAACCAGAAGATAGTGTATTTGGATTTCCAAAAGTAATTAATTAAGGTACCACCTCAAAAGTTACAACACAAGCTGAGGTCATAATTAAGTAATTATGAATAGAAGATCAGCTAACAAACAGGAAGGCGTCAGGATAAATAGATCATTTTCAAGTTGGCAAACTAACTTGTGAGTGCCACAAGTATCATTGCTGGGATGGCATCTATTTACAATTTATATTCATGACTTGGATGAAGGGATCTGTACTGGAGTCAAATTTATTGATGAGGCAAAGATAGGTGGGGAAACAAGTTGTGATAAGGATCAAGGAGCATGCAAAAGAATACATGTGGCTAAATGTTTTAGCTAAAATTTGGCAGATGGTATTTCTTGTGAAGAAAATGAATGGAAGAATAGAAAAGCAAATGACTTTGTGCACGGCTCTGCATTATGTTGTGGCACAGAGGCATCTGGGTGCCTTTGTACGTAATTGACAAAATGTTAACAACAAGTAGGCATTTATTGCAATGGGGTTGGGGTACAAGTGTGGTGAAGTCTTGCAACTGTACATGGTGTTGGTGAGATTGCAATTGAGTACTGCATAACGTTTTATGTAAGGAGTGATGTGCCTGCAGTTCACAGAAGATTTACCAGGTCAATTCCTAGGATAAAGGAGTTATGTGGAAACATTGAGTAGGTTGGCTTATTTGTGATGGAGTTTAGTAGGATGAGGGATAATCTTGTTGAAATATGACATTGAGGGAATATTTCTTTGTGGAATGGTTGTGTAACAAGGTAATGTAATTTCAGAATTGAGATGGAGAAAAATTGGAAGCCAATTGCCACTCCTTCAGTGTCATCAGGTCAAATCCCTGGAACTCCCTCTCTAACAGTATTATGGGTGTACTTACCCCAAATGGATTGCAGTGGTTCAAGACAGCAGCCAACCACCACCTTCTAAAAGGCAACTAGGGATCGCCAATAAATGCTGGACCCGCCCTTGACACCCATGTTCCACAAGTGATTTAAAAAAAAAGCCTACTCATTCTACCAGCCTTGATGCTGTGCTCCCATGCTTCTTTCACAACACTATACTTCCAAGAGTTATTTCATCTGCATGTTCTGAACTTGTGACCTGTATACTTAAGTCAAATCATTAATACATATTAAGAAAAGCAGTGGTCAGAGTAACCACTGCAGGTAACGATGCACCAGTCCAAAAAACAAATCATTCGTTATTACTTTGTTTTCTGTCATTTAGCCAATTTCACAACAATGTTTCACATCCATGACTGCATTATACATATAGTCTCTATTTGAATACCCTCTAGGTGGAAATGATTTGTTTTATCTGCCCTAACATGCTCATTTTTAAAAGGGTTTTTCAGATCATTCATCAATGCAAACAGCCCTGCAGCCAATTTCTATATTATATCTTATATAACCTCTGTTCTACTATCATTCAGATGATCTTTTCCCCACCTTTCTTTTTATTCAATACAAGTAGTCTTAAAGGGTGTAAAGCCACTTCCTACTGCTAAACAATATACTAGCAATATACTGACCTACTTGGCTAATTAATGTGCAACACAAACAGGACTTACTTTCATTAATCCAAGAGCATGTTGTGAAATATTTGAAAACTTCATTTCCAAAGGTTCCTGTGGAGAAAATAAGTTCCAGTTATACCAACACTAGAAAAACTGTATTTTCAAGTGTTGCATTTCATTAAGAAGCAAATGTGGTAAATGTAGTAATAATCAGAATCCCAACTGCAAATGTAAAGTTTCTCCATAAAATAATTGTTTTTCCTTGTTTCCTCAGATGGCTGCGGCAGGCACTTATAATCCTCCAAATCCAACTTTTGCCTTGGTTTTAGCAGAAATCTGAGAAAGCAGGAAAGCCCGCCATTTGTAATTAACTTATTCCGGAGGTTGAAAGTTCTGGCACGGCCAAAGGCTCATTTTCATAAGAGAGGACTGCCCCAGAGGGACTGGAAAAAATCAAAAATTCAGATCCCAATGTTTAATACAAATGGATGAGTCATAGTTTAAGTGTTACATTTCCAAATTCTGCTTTCCTAGATTAACATAATGTGATACCACATTATCAGGCACTGGTATGCTGACTCCACTGAAGAATTGGTTTGAACTGAAGACTTGTTGATGCCGAGGAATCAGATCACCTGTATGAAATCAAGATACAATAGTAATTACTAAATCCTTAATGGATATATTAAGATTACAATGTGTCATTGAGTGCGCAAAGGCACACTGAACAATGCAAATAATCATAAAACATTTTGTGCTTCAATGATACAATGTGAAACTGGCAAGCAACCAATCTCCACAACTAACTCTGAATGGACTCTCAGTCTGAGTTTATTTAACCGGTAAATTCAAAGACAAAGGAAGCCAATTTGACCTATATTTAATCCAAGTATGCCATTCAAAATGCAGAGCAATTATACCATGTAGCGTTAAAATAATTCACTTTGGCAACAGAATAATATATTCATGTTTAGTGCACCTGATGGCATACATTTGCAGTGCCAAGTCAGCCCCATCAGTAAATATAGTCAGTCAATCAACTGTGGCATTGAACACAAGGAATAAAAAGCAATTATAGTCTTCAACTGACAGAGTTGAGTTCCCATTTTACAAATATTATATCCTGTCCTTACTATTTATCTGTATAATGAATTTCCCTCACCGTGGAAGATATACTTAGAATATTAAGTTTAAACAGACACTTGCATTTGCAAATACAGAAATATGGAATTTTGATAGATGCTAGATGGAAGGAAATGGACATATTGTGGACATCAATAAGAAAATTGAGGATATAACTATATTGCATTTTAGAAATCAAATTATTAAAAGACATCACTATATGAATATAATTTGTCAAAAGAATTGAAATCACAACTTTGACCCAATTGTTATGTTTAAAAAAAAAAAATCAGGTCTGCTCCTCCAAAACAGATATTCCAATCTGAGAATCTGGCTTTTTTTTTTTCCTTTATTCATTCACTGGATGAGGGCATTTTTTGCCTATCCCTAACTGCCCAGAGGGCAGCTAAGAGTCAGCCACATTGCTGTAGGCTGGACCAGGTAAGGATGGCAGTTTCCTTCCCTAAAGGACATTAGTGAACCAGATGGGTTTTTCCTGACAATCGATAATGGATTCATGGTCATCATTAGATTCTTAATTCCAGATATTTACTGAATTCAAATTCCATCAGGTGCTCTGGTGGAATTTGAACTGGGTCCCCAGAATGTTGGCTGGTCTCTGGATTAACAGTCCAGCGATAATACCACTGGGCCATCGTCTCCCCGCCTGTTCCACAATTATTCCTCACAGTTCTTGTTGTGCAGCATTTTAAAAAAAAAACTGACACTGGTGGCTTTTAGCCTTCACAACAATCTTAATAACCCAAAGACATTACTACAGGCAACAATTTTTTTTTTCCAGAATATCATTTTTCTTCAGCTAAGTTATTTAAAGCATTGAGAGTGACAAATCGAACTGAATGAAAGACCATTAAAACTCAATAATATGAACTTTTTCAAATGCAGCTTTTTAGTGTCCTACTTTTCTTGAAATCTAACCCAAGTGTCATTGAGCAGATATCAAATAATCTCTCTGAAGGAGTTTCCAGAGAATGGGTAAAAGAAGTGATCACCGAGATGGATCGAAAAATGATCAGAAGGGAAAGATGTGTCTAAACAGTCATGGTGGCAGTTTGCAGAAGGCACTGATGGTAATTGCTGAGTAAATCATAAGGTCATTTTCTGGCACCTAAAATGATCCCCAAGCTGAAGAGAACTAATAGGAAAGAAAAGGTTGCGCAAGAAGAAAGTTTTTTCTAAAATAAAAAATATTACAAATACAGGATTTATTTCCTAAAATATTGCTGCATGTCTCAAGGGTATTTGCAACTGCAAATATTATTCACTTTGGTCTAGTGACATTTAAGGCTTGACATTTTTAAATCAGAAGCTGCATGGTCAGGGTTAGGGAGGTTATGCTAAAATATACAAGTCACTATTCAGACCACACCTGAAATACCATGAACAGTTTTGGATGCCTTATCTAAAGAAAGCTACATTGGCATTAGAGGGAATCCAGAGAAAGTTCACCATATTGACTCCAGGCACCGAAGAATTTTCTTATGAGAAATGGTTGAATAAGTTGGGCTTGTATTCTTTGGAGTTTAGGAGAACAAGAGGACACCCTCATTGAAACATAAAAGATTCTTAGAAGGCTTGACAGGGCAAATATGGAGAGGTTGTGGGAGACTCTAAGGCCATGCATAATTTAAGAGTAAAGGATTGCCCATTTTAAGACAAAGATGAGGAAAAATTTCTCCTAGGGTAGTCAATTTGTGGAATCCTTTACTCCAGAGTGCTGTTAGGGTGCTACTGCCCCGCCTCTCATCTACATAATCCATACACCTGATCTCATTAAAACACCTGTGAGTCTGTATCTAACCCCACCCCAGATGGTGTTTATCTGGCACCACTGTGTTTACTGATAAATCTTAGCTCCCACTGCCCCAACACCTTCATTTCAAAAAGTGTTCAGCCACATGTTCCCCTTTCCATAGCCTTACCCTTCATCACATCTGTAACGTTTTCCAGGCCAATAATCCTCAAAGACTGTCAGTTTCTTCAGTTCTGGTCTTAAAAAAACCTCATGGTCCATGCCTTCAATTAACTATACCCATGCTTTAGAATTCACTCCTTGTACCTTGTGATATCTTTTAAAACTCTCCATAAAAACAGCCTGTCAAAGCTATTAGGTATTCCTCCTAGTGCCTCCTTTGACTCTGTCAAATTTTGTTCTCTATACTGCTATGAAGTGCTTGGGATTATTTTCCTTTGTGCTATGGAAATGCAAATTGTTATTTAGATAAATTTAAATAGGTTTGTATGTCGTTGTTCATAAGTTATTTAAATCTTTACCAAATTATTTAATGAAAAGCTTTATATTTAAATTGCATCTTTCATGATATCAGGATGTCCCAAAGTACTTTACAGCCAATTAGACATTTTTCAGATATGGTCATGGTTGTATTGCAGTAAATGTCACAGCAAATTTGTAAACAGCAAGCTCCCACAAACAAAAATATGATACCAATTATATTTTTATTTTTAGTAATGTTGATTGAGGTAGAAATATTCCTTGGAGGGCTTGTTTGCTTTTCTTCAAAATAGAGTCTTGGGATCCACTTGAGAGAGGAATTAAGCCATTGGTTTCATCTGAAAGAAAGCACCTCCAACAGTGCGGTACTCCTTTAATACTGCATTGGAGTGTCAGGTCTTGGTTCTCGTATCAAGTCTCTGGAGTGGAACATTATCCACAACCTTCTGACTTAGAGATGAGAATGCTATCAGCAGAGTCATTGCTGACATCTAAACACTTAGAAAGAATCCTATACTGCTAAAATGCAAGAAATTGGGTTTTTTGTAAACTTACAAATAATAATTTGTATCACTTAGAAATTTATTTTGATTTGAGCAAAAGGAGTACAATTTTCTAATATTTTGAGTACAGTACCCACCTAGTGTTTTTCTAATCAGGTAAAGCTGATCAACATCTGATTTTCCTGGCCACAAGGGGGCTCCAAATAACAATTCTGCAAAAAGGCAGCCTATTGCCCAAACATCCACTGGAGGGCCATATTGTGTATCTCCAACCAACAGCTCTGGGGCACGATACCAGCGAGTTGCTACGTAATCTGTGTAGTAATCTTCAGGACCAGCTACAAAATAAAATGTGAAACCAGAAAATGCTGAATGACCTCATGCAACCAAACCTCACTTTAAATAGAAAGACAAAAAAAAAAACCGCGAATGCTGGAAATCAGAAACAAGATCAGAAATTGCTGGAAAAACTCAAACTTTGTTCTGAAAAAGGGTCACTGGACCCAAAACGTTAACTCCACTTTCTCTCCACAGATGTGGCCAGATCTGCTGAGTTTTTCCAACAGTTTCTGATTTTGTTTAATGGGAGGATATAGTACTTGAACAAAACCAATGATCCTTCAGTACCTTATCACATTGCTCAGCCATCCCAAAATGCATCAATACGATTACTTTTAAATTGTAGTTAATTTAGTATAACGCAGTTATGTTTTGAACAATAAAGTGGCACAATAAAGCAAAGCACTGAATGTCCAGTTAGTATGTAAAAACTGAAAGAACTGTGGATGCCGTAAATCAGAAACAAATTCAGAAATTGCTGGAAAAGCTCAACAGGTCTGGCAGCAAAACACCCTCTGATCTGTATGTCCTTGCTTACTATGATCTGCCTGTACTGCTCACAAAGAAAGCTTTTCACTGTACTTGGGTACACGTGACAATAAATCAAATCAAATCAAAGCATCTGTGGAGAGATGGTCTGAAGGAGGGTCACTCGATTCAAAACATTAACTGATTTCTCTCCATAGATGCTGCCAGACCTGCTGAGCTTTTCCAGCAACTTCTGCTTTTGTTTGTGACCAGTTAATATGGTTAGGTGATGTCAAATGAGGAAAAAAAATTAACCAAGTCATTTAAACAACTCTCAACTCCTTGATGAGATCTTTTGAGCCTGATTTTAACCCATTTAAAACTCATCCACTTGTAGAATTGGACCCTTTATGTTTGCCTTAACATTTGGAAGACCTCAATCTAAGGTTTTAGGTTTGACAGGATGACAAGGTAAAGGTAAAGTCATCATAGTCCTACCAGACCAAAGGGCTGCTCTCTCATTAAAGAGAGAGAGAGAGAGACGACTAGTGGTGGTTAAACCCGAGGGCTAAGGGAAAGCTCTAGAAAGAGAGTCCTTCAGGGTAATGTCAGTCGATGTTGGAATAAAACCCATGCCATTGGCACCAAATCCAAAGACGTGCAGGTTAGGTGATTAGCCCCATGCTATAGACCCCATACAGGGTTAAGGAAATGGAGGCGGTGGCTGCATGGAATGTTCTTTCGAGTACAGACTCGATGGGCTGAATGGCCTGTTTATGCGGTGAAGGGATTCTATGATTAGCAATCACACTGCATCACAGACTGGCCAACAGAGCTAACCAACCCTTTAAAAGGATAGCACTTCTAAAAAGTATCGTGACAGCTTAGAATTGCACTGAAACATCAGCCTGGATTACTGCATTCCACTTCCATATTCGATCTATATTTGAATCCATACATCAAAATAAAGACCACTACTTCAGAAATGCTATATGATGGTTGATTGAATATATATTCAATGAGTGAAACTGGTCAAAGGCATTTGAATGATACTAAAACAGCCCAGTATTACTATCTATTATTAACTCTGCAACTGCCCAATTGAGAAATTTATATTTCAAAGTAGTTTTAATCTCGTGTTTCTCAATATCGAGACTCTTTTTTAAAAATCTGAACCAAAGATGCAGCAGTTTTTAAAATATTATAGTCATACAGCATGGAAACAGACTCTTCAGTCCAACTCGTCCATGCCGACCAGGTTTCCCAAACTAAATTAGTGCCATTTGCCTGTGTTTTGCCCATATCCCTCTAAATCTTTCCTATTCATGTACTTATCCAAACGTTTTTTAAATGTTGTAACTGTACCTGTATCCTCTGGCAGTTCATTCTACATACAAACCACCCACTGTTTGAAAAATCTGCCTCTCAAGTCCCTTTTAAATCTTTCTCCTCTCACCTTAGACCTATGACCTCTAGTATGGAACTCCCCTACCCTCGGGAAAAGACTTTAGTTATTCACCTTATCTATGCCCCTAATGATTTTATAAACCTTTATAAAGTCAGCTCTCAGCCTCCTATGCTCAGTGAAAAAATCCCAGCCTATTCAGCCTCTCCTTGTAAGATTTAAAATAATAGGAAAATTAGAATAGAGGTGAGAATTTCATTTCATTCAGATGATGTTGGTGTTAATTGCAAGTTTTAGTTGGTATTATAATGAACTCCTAAATTGTTGTCATATATAGCAACACAATTGTTATAAAAACTGAAAGAACTGAGGATGCTATAAATCAGGAACAAAAACAGAAGTTGCTGGAAAAGCTCAGCAGATCTGGCAGCATCTGCAAAGAAAAATCAGTTATCATTTTGGATCCGGTGACCTTCAACCGTCATTAAGTTCAGAGGAAGGGTCATCGGATCCAAATGTTAACTGATTATTTTCTTCAGAGATGCTGAAGCTTTTCCAACATAATTGTTATCTTCAGTTTAAGCATATAATCTACTCAGTCACTGAAACGGTTATCTTCTTTTAGTAATGCCACTCAAGAATGGCTAAACAATTGCCATAAATCTTATTATAGGTATATAAGTGGTAAAACTAACCATTAGATATTTGTTGAAAATATAGGATAGTCACTTACTTAATATCCTGGCAAAACCAAAATCACAAAGCTTAATGACGTGATGTTTTGTAATTAAGATATTTTCTGGTTTTACATCCCTATGTATACACTGCAAAAATATAAATAAAATATAATTTAATTAATGATTAGTTCAAAAATGCTAAACAGTTGCACGAATAGCAAAAATATGCTAGCCCAGAAACTGCAGATCTTGTAGATCTTATTTATCGTATAAACTGTAATTCTTGATAAAATAAGAGACATCTGGAGAAAGCATACTAAAAACTTTTAATGGGAGAATTCCAATAACAATGCAGTTTCAACCCATTTTTAATTATATTCCAACAGCCTCTCAGAAAATTGTTTTTTTAATATATTACTGTCTATTTTTTACTACTTGCTGTGTTTTACCATTTGATTAATCTGGAAGGTTGAAAATCAATCCAAATGATGCAAAAGGAGCTAGAATTTCAGCCAGCTGCAAAAAACACAAAGAACAATACAGTTCAGGAACAGGCCCTTCGGCCCCCCCAGGCCCGCGTCAACACATTTTGCCCTTCCTTACCTGTCTTCACTTACAGGATCCGTATTCCTCTATTCCCTTCCTATTCATGTATTCGTCCAGGTGCTTCTTGAATGCTGCTATTGTGTCTGCTTCCACCACCTCCTCTGGCAGTGCATTCCAGACACTCACCACCATTTGAGTGAAAAACTTGACTGGCACATCTCTTTTAAACGCCCCCCCTCAACCTCCTGCGTTCCAGTGATAACAAACCCAGTCTATCCAACCTTTCTTCATAGCTAAAATCCCCATACCAGGCAACATCCTGGTAAACCTTTTCTGTACCCTCTCCAAAGCATCCACATCCTTCTGGTAGTGTGGTGACCAGAACTGTATGCAATATCCTAAGTGTGGCCTAACTAAAGTTCAATAAAGCTGCAGCATAACTTGCCTGTCCTTATACTCAATGCCCCTTCCAATGAAGGCAAGCATGCCATAGGCCTTTTTTACTACCTTATTTACCTGCGCTGCATTCAGTGATCTGTGGACCCGCACACCAGATCCCTCTGCACATCAGTACTCTTAAGGATTCTGCCATTCACTGTATAACTTCCACCTGTACTTGACCTTCCAAAATGTATCACCTACTTGACTGCAAGCTGGTAAAATGTAATATCTGGTATTATTACACAAGAAGATTTCTCTAAAAGATTTCATATACTTTTCTGAAGGGTCCCAATCCGAAACGTCAGCTTTCCTGCTCCTCTGATTCTGCCTGGCCTGCTGTGTTCCTCCAGTTCCACACTGTGTTATCCATATATTTTAGATTGTTTAGTCAAAGACTGAAACCAATTAATGGCCTGTTTAGTTTGTTTGATTTTACAGAATATCTATTCACAATGCTAGATCTGGATACTGGATTGGCAGGCGTCAATGCCCCGATTGGCACCAGTCAGATCTACATTGCCAGAATGTCTCTGTGCAAGTACAGATGATGACATCAACATCGCTGTGTGTACAGAACAGGCAGGCAGCAAAGACACATACCTCAGGAAAAATACAAATATTCCTCAGTTAAAAACTTCACTGTCTGCATGACAAATGGGGAGATTCTCAAAATTGAGACCACGAGCATGCCCATTATGAGCTGCTTTGTTACTGAGCACAAATGTATTAATGGGGATGAATATAGTTAATGATAACTGTTTTCTTCACTTTCCCTTATTCCACTTTACAGCATGTACAGTAAATGGATTGAGAGTTTCCAATTTAAAAGACTACCAATCAATTGAAAGTAAATGTTATTGTTTTTGCAGCTGTATGATTATATGGACAGCACCATCTTTATGGCAGGCAGCTGCTTCAAATACTGCAACACGTTCTACCCCATAGTAGTGCTGACGATAAATGACCAATTGAATGTAAAATATCAAAAGTAATTTAAGAATTCAGTATATTGAGGGGTGATTTTTTTTTAAAACCAGGCTTTAGTCTAAATGAGGATTAGACATGCAAGGATATCCACATTTGTTTATTTAATTGTAGTACCTGAATCTAACTAAAGCTTTAAACATTCTCAACATTAATCAGCATTGTAAAAATAGTACATTGGTGCACTATGAGTTGTAAAATAATTTGTGTATAAAAACACGTGAGCTTACATTGTGCTTGTGGCAAAAATTCACAGCTTGCAGCGTTTGCCAAGTAATTCTCCTCACTAAATGATCTGGCACCCTAATAAAAAGAAAGGCATTACACAAATTAAATATTTTTCATTCCCTTTCTATCTACAATAGTGATTATAAACTTGGCACATAGATTTAGTAGTGAATAAAATAAAAAGCAAAATCACACTCAAACAATAAAATATTAAAGACACTTGGATCCACTTTAATACGCATGAGAATATGGGAGACCTGATTTGTCCAGTTTTTAAAAATGTATCAAGAATGGAAATACACACAAATCTAACAAAAAGCTTGGTTCTGGAGGGATAAATGCTTAAAATGGGAATTATTCTGTAGCCTCCATTGTTTGCAAAGATTCATGCAATAAAATGCATTATTAATCAAGGATTCAATTAAATATTGACAATAAGAACATAGTTCACAACGGTAAGTCAAGACTAGACGGATGTAGAAAACCAATATGTCCTGCAGAATTGATGCTCGTCACATATGCTGACTCAAGTCAATAATGGTTTCTCAACTGAAATACTATATCCCAGATGTGATTTAAATCACATATGAAATATTCAAACATGTAGAGTAGTCATGCTATTCCTAAAAAGTGCTGTAAAAACTCTTGAAAAACAACTGAATTTTTTTCTACCAAATATTTATTTGTTCAGTGCATTTAGTACTTGAAATACAAACTAAAGAACCAATTAACGTTTGCTGTTTGTGGAATTTTGTGGCATAAATTAAATTGTGTTTGCCTATTTTCTTATACACTAAAAAGTTATCCATTGAAACGTGCAGCTTTATGGTTTTATAAAGATATGCCAACAAAATTATTGTAACTAACTATACAGCAATCTTTTCTGACTTGATTTGCATCAAATGATTTTAACTTTAGATGTTGCAGAGCCATGTATTATTAACCCTTTTTTTGTAGCATAATTCTGACAAAAAGCAATTAAAGCCCAACTAGCCACCAGTAGAGTGGCTCAGTGGTTAACACTGCTGCCTCACAGCTCCAGGGACCCGGGTTCAATTTCAGCCTCGGGCAACTGTCAGTGCAAACTCCACCCATTCTCCCCATGTCTGCGTGGGTTTCCTCTGGGTCCACCGGTTTCCTCCCATAGTCCAAAGATGTGTGGGTTGGGTTAATTGGCTATGCTAAATTGCCCATAGTGTCCAGAGATGTGCAGGCTAGGTGGGTTAGCCATGGGGAAATGCAGGGTTACAATGAGGGGGTGGCAAGAGTGGGTCTGGGTGGGACGTTCTTCGGAGGGTTTATGTGGACTTGATGGGGCGAATGGCCTGCTTCCTGCACAGTAGATAGTCACTGATTCTATTTTTCATCGCCAAGAATAAATCAGTGCCATAGACCACAAAATCAGAGTAATCAAGCTTGGAATGCTATCTTCCTTTTCTATGCAAATCAGGTGTATTGTGTAGGCTACACTCAATGTTACTTACCCTGTGGGGTATCGGTTCAATTCATCTAATACAGTGTGATCACAGTATTCAAAAACTAAGTGAAGCCTTCGTTTTCTTCTGAACACCTCAATCAAGTTGACAAGATTGGCATGTTTAAGTTGCTGAAAGATAAAACAATTTAATTTTGAGAGATTTACATGCACAATGCTATGCAACCTCTGACCTTTGCCATGGCTGTTAGAACAAATGAGATAACTGACCCCCAGTAAAGCCACCATAGTCCTACCAGACCATAGGGCCGTTCTCTCATTAGGGAGAGATAACTGGTGGCGGTTTAAAGCTGAGAGTCAAAAAACTGCACACAGAAAAATAAAAAGCAAACCTTTGCTTATCTGAAGTTGGCAAAAGTCCTTTATTGATTCAGTATGAACAAGCCAAAGAGATTCAAGATAACAAGGTGTAGAGCTGGATGAACACAGCAGGCCAAGCAGCATCATAGGAGCAGGCCTGCTGTGTTCATCCAGCTCTACACCTTGTTATCTCAGATTTTCCAGCATCTGCAGTTCCTACTATCTCTGATACAATTTTAACCCCAAAGAGATTCAATTTAGCTCAACAAATTTAAAAATGTATATCAGTAGTGATATCTTTAGTAACTCAAATCAAACAAATTGAGAAACTGTAATTTTAAGATCGGATTTCCAACACCAACATGTACTACAGATTATTTGCTGAATGAATACTTTCAATGATAATCAGTTTGCACTGAAAGCAACTCAGTTTCCAATTCTCATGCTCTTTTGCACAGTTAAGGACATTTTACACCTTGAACAGGAAGCTTCATTGGAGACCAGTTCAACATGTAAATGAACATAAGACCTAGGAGTAGGAGTAGGCAATTCAGCCCCTTCAGCCTGCTCCATCATCCAATACAGTCATGGCTGATCTCATCTGGGTTTCAACTCCTGCCTAATCCCCATAACTCTTCAACCTATTGCTAATTGAAAATCTGTCCATCTCCTCAAGTTTACTCAATGCCCCAGCCTCCATTGCACTCTGAGGAAATGAATTCCAAAAATTCACAACCCTTTGATGTTTTAAATCTGTCACCCTTTATCCTAAAACTACAACCTCTCATTCTAGATTGTCCCATAGGAGGAAACATTCTCTCTTTATACACTTTGTCAAACTCTTTTAGCATCTTATATACCATGGTTAGATCTCCTTTCATTCTTCTAAATTGCAGACAGTATAGGCCTAAACTGCTCAATCTCTCTCCACAGGACAAGCTGTTCATCTCTGGAATCAATTTAGTGAACCTCCTCTGAACTGCCTCCAATGAAACTACATCCCTCCTCAAGTAAGGGGACCAAACTATATACAATACTCCAGGTGCAGTCTCACTGTACAGTTGCAGCAACACTTCCCTAATTTTATACTCTCGCTTTAGCAATAAATACCAATATTCTATTTGCTTTCCTTATTACCCACCATACCTGTGTACTAGCTTTCTATAATTCATGCATGAGGACACCCAGATCCCTCTGCACTGAAGCAGTCTGAAGTTTCTCACTATTTAGATAATAAATTGCCTTTCTATTCTTCTGATCAAAATGGATAACTTCGTTATCAAATTTAAACTCACTCAATCTGCAAAACTTTGGCCAATTTACCTAACCTATCCATATCCAATTATACTTTTATTTCTGCAGTGCAACTTACTGTCCCAATGATTTTAGTGTCATCTGCAAATTTGATGATAGTGAATCCAAGTCATTATTATAGATTATAAATACTTGGTGCCCAAGGACTGAAATCTGTGGGACACTCTATTAGTTACATCTTGCCAAACAGAAAAAGACCTCTTCATCCCAACTCACTCAGAAACAGCAAGAACTGCCGATGCTAGAGTCTGAGATAACACAGTATGGAGCTGGAGGAACACAACAGGCCAGGTAGCATCAGAGGAGCTGGAAAGCTGATGTTTCGGGTCAGGGGGAAGGGAGCTCTGAAATAAAGAGAGAGAGGAGGAGTGGGGCTGGGGAAGTTAGGTGGGATGGTGATAGGTGAGTGCAGGTAGGCAGTGGTGGGGATTGGTTAGTGAGGTTGGAGGAGCGGATAGGTGGGGATGAGAGGAAGGGTTGGTCATGGGATGAGGCCAGAGGTAGGGAGATTTTGAAACTAGTAAAATCCACATCAAGACCATTGGCTTGTAGGCTCCTGAGGCAGAATATGAGGTGCTACTCCTCCAGTTTCCGGGTGGCATCGTTGTGACACTGGAGGAGGCGCAGGATGCATGTGTCGTCCAGGGAGTGGGAGGGGGAGTTGAAGTGGTTCGCGACTGGAAGGTGTTGTCGTTTGTCACGAACAGAGCGCAAGTGCACCTCACTGACCAATCCCCACCACTCCCCACCTGCACTCATCTATCACCATTCCACCTACCTTCCCCAGCCCCACCCTCCTCTCTCTATTTATTTCAGAGCTCCCTTCCCCCTCCCCCATTTCGGAAGAAGGGTCCCAACCCGAAACGCCAGCTTTCCTGCTCCTCTTTTCATCCCAACTGTCTGCTTTTTGTTGGTTACCTAATCCTCTATCTAAGCTAATAAATGACATGTAACCCCATGTGATCTTATTACTGTATCCTACTGGTACTGTTTGGGGACTTGTAGGTTCCTTCCACTAGGGAATTCATTCCCTAGCTATTTCTTAATCAGTTTGATGTCTTGATCTCCAGTGCCTAAATCATTTCTCGCTACAGCACTAATCTCTTCCTTTACCAAAGCTACAACACCTCCTTTTCCTTCTTGCCTATCCTTCCAAAACAGAGTACCCTTGGATATTCAATTTTGAAATCTGGTCTCCCTGCAACTATGTCTCAGTAATCACTGCCAAATCGCATCCTTTCGTCTCTAGTTGTACTACTAAGTAATTAATTTTATTCCAAATGCTTCATGTTTTCAGCTTCAAAGCCTTTAAATTTGTTCTAATTTAATGTTTCCCTACTCTTGTACAATTCCTTGGTGCAATATGACATTTAGATAATAAAAGGAAGGGACCAGATATGTTAATGTCCCTTTTATTAGATCAAAACAATAAAGTGAAACAGTAATTTGAAGCAGTTACAGAGTTGACATTTTAACCTCAAATGCTTAACTTTTGATAGTAAACAATAACTTCTCCTGCACAAAGAATCCAATTATTTCCCTTCTCATGTCCCATTGCAAATACCATTTCTTTTTAATGGGATTTCCTGGTTTCCTACTTGCTGAAAGACATAAATGTAAGATCCGAGTATGAACTGATTCTGAACAAACTAAATACTAGTTAGTTGATCTGGATAAGTTGTTCTCTAGCACATGTGATACCACTTATTCAATGAACTATTGTTTGACTGATCATTTTTCCAAACTTTTGGAACCACATAGGTCCTTTCAGAAGGAGAAAAATGGTGCTGTTTCGCAATGAGTAAAGATATCACATTACAATGAAAAACACTGCGGCAAGCAAAGCAATAACGATTAAAACAAATGTTTGATTAAAATTGATAATGAACAAAGAGCACAGTAGTCTATGTAACAACATTAGGTTGCCCTACCAAAAATAAAAGCATGATTTTTTTTTTTCCTCAATTTCATTTACTTACCACTGGTATTAAATATACTGCAATCTCTCCAACCCAGAATGCTGGAAACCAAGTCATTTTTGGATATTGGAATTTTCTCATTTTTAAGAATGATGTTAGGATGCCTAACCATTAGTGTATGAACCAGAAAACACCATAAAATATAAATTTTACCATAAAAATAAAACAAAGGATAAAACGTTATAAATCAGTTGTAATTTTTGTTCATTTATCCAAGGATATACCTTTCATGTTTCCTAAAAGTCCTGCACTAAAATGATTTTGAGCTGCTCGAGTCCTGTTGAGAAGATTTCCAGCCAACATGTGTTGCTGAATATTTTTTCCAGACCAGAGAGGTTACAGTGTGTTATGATTCACCAGAGTTATGCATGTTTTAAAAATAATCATGACCAAGAAAGACCACCAGTTCTATCCTAATGGGGGTAGTGCTTATGATATGTGCCACCTGGAAAATGGCAACAATTTAATTTGTCATAATGGGTCTTTACTTGACTCCATTTCACATTCCATAACTGAACAACTAACATGTTTCAACTCTGGAGCCAAGATGGGTTTAATAAAGCTTTGAGTTATTAGGTTTGTATTTCCTAAAAAAAAAGGTTTAACTGTGAAACAGGTAATTAATATTTTTATAGAAAAGTTAACCATTAATAATTGAATGGTATTCGATTTAAGATAAGTTTATAAATTATCCTCAAACAGAATGCAAACTTAACATCACAATAATGCACACTTTCTATGTTGAGATATAATGTGCTCATTTGATGTAGTACAGCTCTTTTTATGTTAAAGCTATTTAGTGCAAGTCGTAAGAACTTGAATTCAAGTTTGAAACAAATATTTGTGTAATTATGGCAGAAAAAGACTTCAATCTAAGCATAACTGAAGCAAAAGTCTACATTTAATTCTGATCGTTCTAAATGATTAACCATATTGTAGATTCAGTTTAAAACTGACCACAGGTAACTTTGTAATCCGGATTGGGTTTAGGTTCAAAACATCGACTTTCCTGCTCCTCTGATGCTGCCTGACCTGCTGTGCTCCTCCAGCTCCATACTGTACTGATTCTAAGGGGCCTTGACAGGATAGACCTGAGAGGAGGCTCCTCCACCTTACGGAATCTTAATTAGTTTAAAAATAAAGGGTGTCCTTTTTAATGATGGAAATGAGAAATTTCTTCCCTCAGAGGGTTGTTGGTCTTTGCAATTTTCATCCAAAAGTACAGCAGTGGTTGATTCAGCATGTATTTTCAAGGCTGAGTTTGACAGAGTTTTGATTTACAAACGGATGAAGGGATTTGGGAGCATGGATTGCAGGGAAGAAATTGGTGTTAAGAATCACATTAGCCATGGTCTTACTGATTGGCAGGGCAGGCTCAATGGGCTGAATGGCCTTCTCATGTTCCTACTGCTTATAATTTTATGATTTTAAAATATCAGGCAGTAAAGTCTTCACACATTACTTTGTCTTTAAAGTCCACAGAATAGAGAAACTAGGTGCTGGAAGTTGTAGATGCCC